AAGAGGCTGCAAGAACTTTCCACGTTAAGAAAAACAGAGAGCTATTTACCCCACTTCAAAACAATCAGTAAATCAGAACTCTCATCTAAGGTAATTCACTGCCTCTTATCATTTTCCACGCAGAAGATTACATAATTAAGGGCCATTTAGTGATCATAAGACCAGAATAAATGAATGTTGTCCCACCTCTGGGCACGCAACATCTAATTGATGTGAACACCTAATTCCCACATTAAGTCTTGTACCAAATCAGCCAGAGAGGCACCGGCACAGTTTAAAGGTGCCAATTCCCCGCGCAGTAACTGTGGGTCCTACCACAGGACAGCCCACAGCACCTCATGAGCCAACAAAACCTCTGGAAATTATTGAAACCCACATCTCTCTAAAAACCTTATATTTAAAACCAGAGTTGTTTATTAATAGCGCTACAGCTTCAAGGAAGCAAGACTGCTGGAGCGGCATATTGCAACTCATTTGCCACAAGCGAAACACGACACGAGTCTCCGTGAAGTTCGGGGGCAAAGCAGAAACAGTGGGCGCGGAGGGCAGAGGTGCCGAGCAGCCCCGCGCTCCCCCAAAGGGCCCTCCGGGGCACCGCCCGTCCCGGCCCCCCGCACCTGGGCACACGCGGTGCCGCCCACACGGTACCCGGGGAGCGCCCCCGCCTTCCTCCCGCCGCCCCGCCCTTGTCCCGCTCAGCGCGGGCCCGCCGCAGCTCCCGGGCCAGCGGGGAGGGACCCCTGGCCGGGAGCTTCACACCGGCGGCCGCCGCTCCCTCCCGTGCTTCCTCTCCCTCCGTCCGGGCCTGGGCGCTGCCAGCGCTGCTCAAGCCGCGCACCGGTTCTCCGGGGGTGCGGAACAGCCCCATCGAATCCCGGCGATCCCGCACTGCCCGGATGCGAGGCGGAGGGGCGGCCCGGACGCGAGGCGGAGGCGCGGCCCGGACGCGAGGCGGAGGCGCGGCTCACCCGCAGGCCGCGAGGCACGCCCGGCCCGGCCTCAGCCGAGAGCGAGCGGGCTCTCTGCTGGGCTCGCTGCCGTAAGCCTGTCGCTCGGGCGCTCCGCGTACCGCGGCCGCGGACCCGCAGACTCACCGCCGCTCCCGGCCCGGACCCGGTGCCCCGTCAGGCCGCCGCCGCCAGGACAAAGGCGCCACCCGCCACTACCGCACGGCGCCGTCGCAAAGAGGAGGAGGGGGAAGCACGGTCGCTATGGCGACGTAGCGCACTTTACGGCGCGGCAGGGTACCGCCATACCTGCCGAGGCACAGGGCACTTGCCCCGGCTCCCGGCGTATCCCGCGGTACGGCGCTGCAAGGCAGGCCGGGAGTTGTAGTGCCAAGGAGGCCAGGCGGGGAGGCCGCTGGGTGGCGCTATCGGACCTCGCGCGGGGGAGGCGGCGGAATCGGGATCGGACAGGGACCGGGACCGGGACCGGGACCGGGATCAGGATCAGACTGGGACAGGGACAAGGATTGGGGTCAGACTGGGACAGGGATTGGGGTCAGACTGGGACAGGGACTGGGATCAGACTGAGACTGGGACAGGGATCGGGATCGGGATCGGACAGAGACCGGGATCGGGATCAGACTGGGACAGGGACCAGGATCGGGATCAGACTGGGACAGAGACCGGGACCGGGATCGGACAGAGACCGGGATCGGGGGCAGACTGGGACAGGGACCGGGATCGGACAGAGACCGGGATCGGGGTCAGACTGGGACAGGGACCGGGATCGGGGTCAGACTGGGACAGGGACCGGGATCGGGATCAGACTGGGACAGAGACCGGGATCGGGATCAGACTGGGACAGAGACCGGGATCGGGATCAGACTGGGACAGAGACCGGGATCGGGGTCGGGTTGAGACTGGGACCGGAATCGGGATCAGACTGCTGTTGAGACAGGAGTAGTTGTCGGGGTCAGACAGGGACCAGATGGGGCTTTGGAACGGCACCGGGACCGGTGTCAGGATCGGGACTGGGGTGGGGATCAGACCAGGACAAGTTCTGAGACTGGGGCCGCGATCGGGATCAGACCGAGACTGGAGGAGTCAGGATCAGACTGGGACCGGAGTCGGGATCAGACCGGACCCAGGGCCAGGACCGGAGTGTTCCAGACCCGTTCAAGGGGTGGCGTTCCCGTGCTGTGCCCCCAGCCCCGGCGTTGCCCCGAGCAGCAGCTGCCCCGGGATTCTGCCCCGCTGTGCGGGTAGCGGGACCGGGGGCTCTCGTAGGGGCTCCCACCTGAGCAGCACCCAAGCACCGGCCCCTGCCCCGGGACCAGGAGCGAGGGGCGCTCACAGCCCGCGGCCACAGGAGACCCTGCTCAGGCAGTGCCCGGTGCCGCGGGGATTTCCCAGGCCAGGCTCACGGGAGTCAGGCCCAGAAATCCCCTTCTCTCTGCGGCCGCCCCCTTTGCCCTCGAGATTCCCCAGGGACCCTTCGTGCTCCCGAGTGAGTCATTCCGGGAAGTGACATTGGCCTGGGGAACCCAGAACGCTCGGTTCCCAGTTCTCGCTGCCGTTGTCCCCGGGAGCAGCTGTGACCCGGCCATGGCCGATTGTGGCCACCATTCTCTGGCTGGGGCCGTGACCGTAACCGGGAGGCAGCTGCTGCCGTCTGTCCTCTCCGGCACCACGGCAATGTGAGCAGTGTGGCGGCAGTGCCATTAGTGACCGGGGCACCGAGGTGACCGGAGCACCGAGGGGCGCTGGGGAGCCACCGTTCGCTGCCCAGCCAGCGTAATGCCAAGGGAAGCGCAGGGAACGCCTCCGGAGCGGGCAGGGAACCTGGAAATTCCTTGGGGGTTGCTGGGAACCGCTATGGGGAACTGAAACGAAGGTACAGCCACGGCACAGCACTGTTGCCCCTTCCCCTTTCAGGACTGACGTGTTTGCGGGGACACTCCGCCCCTCTTGGAGGCTCCGGGGGCTCTCCAGGGCTGCAGCCAGAGGGGCTCTCCCTGACCACAGCCGTGGGGGCCCTCCAGGGCGACAGCTCAGGGGCTTTTAAAGCCTAAATAAGAAAAAAACCCAAAAAACCTCTCTGAGCTGCTGTTGGAAAGAAGTGAAACCTGGAGCTTCTGCGGCGGGGGGGCTGCACAGGCGCTCCCCTCCCCTTCCCGCGGACCCCGGCCGACCTCTGCCCCTGTCCCTGCTCCTGCCTGTGGCCGTGACTCCGGCCGGGGGTTCCCGGGCGGGCGGCGGGGGCTCGGGGGGGCCGGCGGGGAGCTGTCCCCAGCCGGGGCCAGCGGGGAAGCCCCGGACAAGGCGGCCCAACGCCCCTTCCTGGGCGGGAACGGACCGAGGCATTCTTAGCAGGGCGGCGGCGGCGGCGGCCGGGGCGCAGCGCCATGAACCGGCTGGGGCTTTGGGGACTGCTCTGCGCGGCGCTGCTGGGCGTGAGTGGGGCCGGGACCGGGGCAAGGAGCGGGACACGGGCAGAGGCGGAGGGGATCCCTCCATCTCCGTGTCCCGCCGGGCTTTCTGGGAAGGGGCACGCTCCGGCCGCTCCGGCCCGTCCCCTCGGGGAGCCCCGGGGCTGAGCGCGGGCGGCGTGAGCGGGACCCGGCGGCGCTGCCGCCTCGGGTCCGTCGATCCGCTCTCCAGGGACACAGCCAGGGCGGAGGAGCTGTCGGGACTGCCTGGTATCCTCTCCAGCTCTTCTACCCACGCGCTTTCGCTTTCCCCTGATGGCGCGGGCCCGGCAGCGCAGCCCCTCCCTGCGCTGGCCCGGGGGTCCCCACGGGCAGGGACGGGCAGCGGCGAGCCCCGGGACCCTCGGCCGGGACCCCCAGTCGGGTGGGGCGCTGGAACCGGCTGCCGGCGCTGCTTTCACTTCTCGGTTGCCTCTGGGCGGCTGGGACGGCCCCGCAGCCTCCTCCTGTCCCCGCACCGGGGCTGCTCGAGGTGCGCACGGGGGTGCTAAGCGCCCGGCCATGCTGCGTGCTCGTCTATGGCACCCTCCGGCCCTCTGTCCCTCGCTCTCTGCCGGAGCCCCCGTCCCTCTCCCCAGGATGGCCAGGCAGATCCGCCGGGAGCTGCCGGGCTACTGGGGATGGGCAGCGAGGGGCTGGCTCTGTGAGAGGAACGGTGCTCTGGGTGCTCTCTTGCACCCTGTTTTGCCCCAGAGCTCATTCCCTGCCTCCTTTTTACCCTTCCCTGTGCAGGTAGTCCCCTGCTAGGGGGAGCAAGGGCAGGCTCTGGCAGTTTTCATGGGTGATGCGCTTGTCTGGGGCTTTCCTGTCCCTCAGGGACGGCGTGTCAGCCCTGGGACGGGGCCGGCAGCGCTCTGGGCACGAAAGCTTGGTGATCGCTGCTCCCTCTGTGAGGGACTGCAGTACTGTTGGCGGGGGCACAGGGTGATGTGCAATCACCTTCTGGTAGGAAATGTGGAGCAACTCTGCCAGAATCACTGCCACCCCACTTCAAAGACAGCACAGATGGCATCAGGCAGCGTGGGTGGCTGCTGTGGTCTGTGGTTAGTGGAGGTGTGGGAAGAGCAGTGTGAGGAAGCCCTCACCTCGGGGTGCAGGTCAGCACATGTGTCTGTGGAAGCGCGGTGATCCCAGGAGCATTGGATATGAATTCACAGGTCTTGTTTCTTCCAGTGCTGGGAGCCTGCTGATGCCTTGACATGCTTTGATAAGCAGTATATATACAAGGGCAGATGCTGCAACCGGTGTCGGCCAGGTATGGAAACCCTTTCCTGGGGACCTCACAACTGGGCAGTGCCAGGACCTACTCTGGGCACAGTGGGGAAAGCTTTGTTTGGTGTGATGGAGCCCCTCCACCTCACTGCCAGCAATGCTGACAGCTTCACCTCCCTGTGTCATCTCAGTGATAGAGCAGCTGGGACCTTGTGGGTGGTCTTGCAGACCCCTTGGATCTTACCAAATGTGCCACAGCTCTCTTGGCACTGTGCTCTTGCAGCTTACAGGACCCCATGGCAAAGGCAGCTTTGTGGGGGGAGAGTGCTGGCACTGGCACTAGCAAATTTTGATGGTGTTTGCCAGCTCCTGCTGTCACTATCAGGTCATCTCTCAGTCCCTGGAGTGCTGGAGTGGCCCCACAGCCCTCCCTCCCCACCTGGCCCCTGCAGTGTTTGTGGTGATCAGAGCTGACTCCTTCAGCCCTGGCTTCCATGCAGAAGAGTGCAGCAATCCTGGCATCCACAGCTGCCAGCCTTCCCCTGTCCTGCTGGCAGAGGTGCTGTCTGGAGAGAGGGAAAGCCTCCTTGTCCCTTCCTCACCAGCCTCTATTGCAGGGGAAAAACTGATGTCTGAGTGCAGTGAAACAGAAGACTCTGTCTGTGTCCCCTGTGACAGCGGGCACTATCAGCCAAGCTGGACCAAGGAGAAGCACTGTGCTCCTCATGACATCTGTGAAAGCAGTAAGTGCTCCCTGTGACCACTGACCCCAACCTGGGGGGACTGGCTGCCCTGCTTGGTGTCTCACCTCATCCATGTTCCCTCTGCCCAGATGCTGGCCTGATTGAGAAGATAAAAGGAAATGCAACACACAACACGGTGTGCCAGTGCCAGGCTGGCACGCACTGCTCTGACATCAGCTGCCAGACCTGTGTGGAGAACCAGCCTTGCCAGCTTGGCTCTGGCTTCGTGGCAGGTAAATCTGACAAGCTGTTCCCACTCAACAGGACTGATGCCCTGTCAGTGCTGACATCAGGGAAAGGGGGCTCCCCCAGCCTGGTGCCCCCTGGCAGGGCTTTGGGAGAGCTGTGCCGTTGCCACAGGGTGTGCTGCACATCTGGACTCTGCAGCCCCTTGCCCCCCAGGCCCTCTCCCCCCACAGCCCCATCTTGCTGACCTTGCTGCCATCTCTGCTCCTCTCCAGCCAAGGCCATGGAGCGGATGTCATCCCCCTGTGAGCCCTGTGCAGAAGGCACCTTCTCCAACGTCTCGTCTAAAACCGAGCCGTGCCACCCCTGGACAAGGTATTGTCTGAGTACACACCATGTACTTCCTCCAGCCCCAGTGAGCACATCCTCTGCTGCCAGTTTCCTTGGTGGCCTTGGGGACTGGGGAGCTGGCCTGGCCTGTGAGGGACACAGCATCTGGCTGTTGTAGGGCCAGGAGAGAGGAACAGGGCCAGGAGCACAGTGTGGTCCAGGACAGCATTGGCTGAGGTCGAGGCAGACATTCAGGCACTTGTGTCTGTCCCTTGCTCTGTGCACAGATTGCTTGTCCCTTCAGAGGTGTCCATGCTGTCATCCATGCTGGAAGTAAAGGGTCAGGATCTATGGGGATGCCCCATGCCCTGTTCAGGTTCTCCCTCCCAGTGCTCTCTGTGGCTGTAGTCATCAGCCAAAGCACAAGCCCTCTCCATGGGGAGTTTGGCTTTGAGGATGTCATGAACTGGCAGGTCATCCCTGTCTTTAGAAAGCTGCTTGAGGGTTAATTGCAGTTCCTGGTAGAAACATGAGCCTTATTTCCAAGCTGAATTAGTCTTGCTTCAGCTGCCAGCCATTGGATTTCACTTTGCTTTTATCTGTGCCCAGAAATTACTTCCCCACAGAGCTACTTGTAGCCTATCTTAGCTTTTCTGTCATGGCTACAGTGCTGAAGCCCTGGGGGCTCCCCTAACTGAGCAGGTCTGCTCCATCCTGTGCCTTGTCCCTAAACTTGTTGCCATTCTCAGCAGTTTCAGCAACTCCAGGCCAAGCCCCAGGGTTGGTACCCTCCTGTGTAGCTGCTGTCCCACTCATACCATGTCGGTGGGGGTCCCCCTGCTCGCCCTACTGGAGCTTGGCAGGCTCAGAGCAGGATGTGTTTTGGGACAGCTCAGGTGCCTGCCCAGCCCCAGCTGTTCCCTGAGCTCAGGTTACTGCTGTGGTGACATGGCCTTGTTCTTCCCTGCAGTTGTGAGGAAAAGGGGCTGATGGTGAAGGTGAAAGGGACGAACTCCTCGGATGTGATCTGTGGTGAGTGCCTGGTGCCCAGGGTCATCCAGTGCAAGGCAGAGAGCACCCAGGGCTCCTGCAGCACTCAGCAGAGCTGGCCTCATGCATGGTGGTTTTGGGGGAGGAAGGTCTGAGTGTGTGGCCAGTGTGATGCCTTCCTGCCTCAGTCTCCCTGAGGGATCCCTGTGGGGCTGGGGTGTGACTCTGTGTCACACTGGGTGTCCTGTGGTGCCTCACTGACCCTGTGTCCTCCTGCAGAGTCGAGCAGGCGCTCCTCCCTGTCAGTGCTGATCCCCATCACAGCTGCAGTTGTCACATGCCTCGTGGGTGTCTGCATCTACTGCCTGGTGCACACAGGTGAGGGGCTAAAGCCTGTGAACTGCTGCCTTGGCCGAGGGAGGGAGAGCCTTGGCCAGAGCGGCCATAAAGGGCTGAGGGGTTGAGCCAGGGAGGACAATGGCAGCTCTGCTGAGAGTGGGGAAGCTCCTCTGGGGACATCACCAGGGCAGGGTTTGCTGAGTCCTGCTCTGTCTTTGGGAGCAGGTGTGTTGGCACTGCTGCAGCCTGAGCTGGGCCAGCTCTTGGTGCCCCACGAGGCCACTCTGGCTCCTGCTGTGACCCCCAGCCTGCCCAGGCTGGCAGTGGCAGCAGGCACAACGTGAGCTGCAGGACCTGTGGTGCAGCAGCACCAGCCCTGGCTCTGACCCTGGGCACGAGCACTTCCCCCTGAACATTGCCTTCTCTGTCCCTCTTTCCATCCAGATTCCAGGCGACGAGGGCCAAAGGAGGTGAGTCTACCCAGAGCCCCCTCCAGCAGTGGGTTGGGATCCCTCCTGGGCACAGCTGGGGATGTGCCAGCAGCAGAGCAGGGGCTGTGGCTTTGCAATGTAGGAGGGGTGGGGGCTGATCTAGGCTGCCTGGCTGGGGCAGGACAAGGGCTGGGGCAACCTGAGGGTGCTTCTGGCAAGTGCTGAGCATTTGGGAGGGACCCATATTCTGGGCTGCATGGGAGTGTAGCAGGAAGGATGTGGGTGCAGAGTGGGGGAATGTAGCTACCTGCCCCTGACCCCTGCCCCTGTGCAGATAGAGGCTGGGGAGCCCGGAGAGAACTCAGATACCCAGCGGCCCACGGAGCAGGATGAGAATGTCTTGCCTGTGCAGGAGACCCTACTCAGGGGCCAGCCTGTGGCCCAGGAGGATGGCAAGGAGAGCCGCATCTCGGAGCAGGAGATGCTGTGAAGGCGCAGGGCACTGCCCCCGACAGGAGCACAGACTGGACAGCACCATCTCCTCTGTCCCCTCTCCAGCTGGGGAGGAAATCTGGCATCTGGCCTGGCTGCAAATGATGGGATGCTGCAATGGACCATGGCACAACCACCCCACGGGAATACCACTACAGCTCCTGGTCTGGTCACCTGCACAGGGCTGCCCTGGTGGAGCAAGGCTTGGCTGTCCCCGTGGGGACATGGAACAGAGCCCCATCCTGCTTCCTGCCCAGGTGATGCAATGAAGCCCAGCGTGCCTGCTCACCTGCTGAGCCCTTGCAGAGCCCAGTGCAGCCCCTGGCACTGCTGGCAGGAAGACCCCAGCACAGAGCCCCATCTCCCTGAGTGTTGGAGAAGCCAGGGCTGGGAAAGGGGGCTGTGAGATCACCACGGCAGAGCTCAGTCCCCTGTCTGGGGTGCTGTGGAAGCGCTGCCCGTGCTGGCGCAGTGTCCGGTGGGCGCTGCCATCCAGACAGGGCACCCCGGCCCCTGCGTGCCGCCCAGCGCTGCCGGGCTCCGTCAGACCAACAAAGGCCGGACCGGCGGGCCCACGGCTCTGCCCCGGGCTGGGGATCGCGGCGGCGGGGCCGGAGCGCAGACAGCGGCGTGCGGCGGCCGGGAGATGGTGCTGCGGGACCGGCGCGGGCTGCGCGGGGCGGCACCGGCACCGCCCGTCCCGCGTACGCCCCGGGCGGGCACGGGGGGCTCTGGGCACGGGGGGCTCTGGCCGCGGGGGGCTCTGGGCACGGGGGGCTCTGGCCTCGGGGGGTCTGGCCTCGAGGGGCTCTGGCCTCGACGGGCTCTGGCCGCGGGGTTGCCCAGCGCGGGGCCCCCCCCGCGGCTCCCCCGCACACCCGCCCGTCCGTGCGGGAGCGGCCGCGCTCCGTCACCTCCACCCAGTGCTGGCGACACAGCGTGATTAAAGGTGATTTTCTGCCCCTGTGCGTGAGCAGCCCCGAGCCCCTGCCGCCCACTGATGTTCCGGGAAGGATGCTTTCGGAATGGGCGGGTGCTCCCAAGGCAGAGGAGGGAGGGAAGAGCTGCCGCCAGCTGTGCTGACCCCCACTGTCCCCCCCCCGGGCCCTCCCCAGCACACCTGGCTGGCCCCACTCCCCTGTGGCGGCCCTGCAGCAGGAGCTGTCCCAGCACAGCCATGCCCAGCCCGTGTCCCACGGCAGAGGAGACAGGGGATGTGGGCAGGGCTGCCTGCAGCAGGCAGCTCCGTGCCCCTCTCCTCACCGCTCTGGCAGTAAAATGCACAGGTGAGGTCCATCGCACTGCAGGGCAGCACTGTGGGGTGCTGTGGTGTAGCAGTGGAGTCACCCCAGGCTCCAAAGCACTGGTGTGGGGCTGCAGCAGCACTGAGCCCACTGCAGGCTTTAGGTGCTGGAAGCAGCCTCAGCCTGTGACCCACCACGATCTGAACACAGGCAGCACAGCACGAGAAAGGCCATAAATCCCTGAGCAGGAGCAGCTGGAGCATGGAGCAACTTTGCCAGTACAGGCAGTGGCACATTATTTAAGGCTCCTCTTAAAACCTAATGTTAGGTTTAATAAGGGAGATAAAAACATGGCAGCAGCTTTCCCTCCTCTCAAGGCTTGGCAATCCCAGCAGTGCTAGTGGGATGGTCTCAGGCTGGGCAGCATTCCCTTGGCACCAGCCCAGAGAACACCCAGTTCTGGGGACAGATGTGATCCCGCTCCTGCTGGAGGAGAAGGTGTTTTGTGGGCCACTGATGCAAAGTCTTTGGCCCCAAACATGAAGCCTGTGGCCCCAGATGGTTTCCAAAGGACTGTCTGCCCAGGTGACAGGCTGAACTGTCTGGGGCCACCTCCCCAGTTCCCCCAAGGCTGCCCCTTCCCTGCTGGCATGCAGCATGCTCGGTGCCCACTCCTGCGTGTCACACATGTACCATCTCATTAGCACGTCTGTCCCCCAAAGTGAGGAGGGAGAGCGCGTGAGGCCTAATTGAATGTAACTAATTATTCACTCTGCAAATGCTCTGTTTAAATGGGATTGTGAGGGACAGAATTACTCATTCTGAAAAGGGGAGAGAAAAAGAGAAAGACAGAGATAAAACAAATAGAGGCGGATGCTGGAGCTGCAGCTCGCTCTCTCTCCCCAGAATACCAATTACCGGATGAAGTGATTGTATAAATCTTTACCCAGTGAACGGACTGTACTAGTCACTTACTCCTGTCCTCTTATTATGAGGAAGCAATGAAAAATCATCCCACTCTCCAGTCCAGTTAAGGGTTCCCAGTCGCTGTCTTGGGCGATATCTCACCAGCTGGAGAGCTCGTCCTGGGGCTCTCTCAGGGTGGGGGTCCCACTGAGACAGGGCTGAGCACTTGGCAGGAGCCCACACCCCTCCTGCACACCCAGCCCTGGGAGGAGGAGAGGCTGTGCATGCTCTGGGGAGGTGCAGGATGTGTGCCCCAGCCGGAGCCAAACCATGCCATGCAGCACCTGGAACATGGGGAGATATGGGCTGGCCAAGGGCCCCAGTGTCACACATGTCACACATGTCACACAGGGACCCCTGGCTCAGTGGCACTCCAGGTCCTGACCCCTCAACTTCCTTGTTCTTCCCTTCTGTGGGTCCAGCCCTGCCAGGCTCCTGGTCTCCTGCACTGGCTCCTGCAGTGCTCACTGAAAAGGGAGAACACTGTGCTTCCCAGCCTCTTCCCACGCTGCAGTCAATGTTTCTCACTCAGGGTGTCTCTGCTCCACTGGTTGCAGAAATGCACTCATTGGCAGTGACCTCCATCACTCTTGCCTGATACATCTTTTAATCCCAGATCCCTCCAAACACCCACATTTCTGTTCTCAGTAGTGGTGTGGGATGGCAGAGGAGGTGCTGGCCATGCAGAGAAAGCTGACAGAGTCCCCCTGCACCCTGCCATCAGTGGGGAGCATCCACATTCTGGGGTCCTGCTGCATGAGCTGGTGAGGACCCAGCCAGTCCCATACTCCTTGCAGGCAACCCCAGATCCCCCTCCCCACAAGGCACCCACAAGGGGCTGGTTTACAGGGACAAGGACCACCGGATCTCCACATCCTGCAGCCAGAAACAGAGGGACCCCCTCAGAGGGGCCCTGCAGGTGCTATTCCAGAGAAGCCACAGGGATTGTGTGGTGGGTTCAGCTGGTGGGGAAGATAGGCTGGGCACAAGTCAGTGATGAGAGGATAAAGCCTCCTGTCTGTCCTGCCTTGTACTGGTTGGGGATTTGATTGTTGCCAGCAGTGAGTTTCCATGCACTGGAGATGTGCATGTGTGGGTGTGAGGGAGAGATAACATCATCATCATCATAACAAATGCAGTTGTGCAGCTCCGTTCTCTGCTTATTGGCTTTCTTCTCTTTATCTATAAATAATTGCGGGGACACAATAGACTTTTAAGTCTGCCAAAGAGTTTGTCTCCCTCCAGCAACCGTATTGCTACAGTGCTGCCACCTTATCTGCTTGTAGAAGGATGAGGGTGGGAAAAATATTTACTGTCAGGGATATTTGTCATCTGCAAATTACTCTGCCTACAGTTCACAGCGGGGATGGGGCTGACAGCACCGATCTGTACTGTGGGAGTGTGAGCACAGGGGGTCTCCACGCTGCCCCAGACCCACCTGAGCCTCATCCTGTTAGCAGCAAGCTGGCAAACCCAGCGTGTGTGCAAAGCCGTGCCATAGGGATGGGGGATGCAGCTGATGATGCTGAGCCAGGCGCCGAGCGAGTGCCTTGACACAAGATCCTTGACACAGAGGATCACAGAGGGATCCTCTTCATCCTTGATCACAGAGGATCACAGAGGGACTGGGACATTGGGCTCAGAGGTTTGCCAAGTTGCCAGCCCCTCCCCAAGCACAGGCCTGCACCCCCAGGCTGTGCAGCAGCCCCAGGCACTGACCACTGTGAGAGCTCCAGGCCTTGCTGTTCTCCTGAAAAGGCCAAGAGTGCTGGACACTCCACCACTCCCTCAGCACCCACTGTCCCTGCCAGCCCCCTCTGCCTGCTGCTGCCAGCCCCACCAGGCTTGCTCACTGCTGGAATTCCTCACATCCTGCAGCCCAGAGGCCTTTGCACAGCACTTATCACTGCAGTATCCAAGAACCGATCTAATTGATGTGACACCAATTATTCCTGTATCACTAAATGCAGAATTAATGCATCTGTGTGTACAAACCTCCTAGACCCTGACCATGAAATAATGACTTTGACATGAAAAGAGCCAGAGCCTGGGAGCACCATCTCTCAGCTGAGCCCCCCTCATTGCAGCTCTGGCCAGCCCTGCTGGGACACCTTCCTGATGGCCACAGAGACCCCACAGCATCCCTGAATCATCCAGCTGGCTGCACAGAGAGCTGGGCCTTGTGGCTCTTTGCAGACTGGGCTGCAGCCATGGTGGTCCCACACAGCCATGCCAAGCCAGGCAGCACCAGCCCAAAAGTGAGAGCTGGCAGAGCTGCCCTGGCTATTGTGACAGCCAGCCCAGGGAGCTGCATGCTCCACGGGGCAGTGCAAAGCCATTTCTGGGCTGCTCAGCACAGCTTATGCAGACTGCAAAGCTCTTGGCTTGGACATGGACTGGTGCTGGGAAAAGCCATTCATTGCACTTGAAATTTTACTGTGAAATTAGGCTTTGCCTGGACACGCAGGGCTTGGCACCAGCAGAAGTTTGTATTTTGTAAATTGCTTTCTACAATCAATTAAAGAAAAGAGATGGCTGTAGCCAGAGGTGGCACACGAGATGGCTCCAGGCTGGGGCTGGTTCCAGATCCCTGCCATACAGCCCCAGGAGCAGTCCCAGCCCAAAAGGAGCAGCCTCAGAATGGGGAGATAATGTGGCTGGGCAGAGCCTCAGCCCGTGGAGGAGGAGGTGGGCAGCTGTGAGGGGGGAGGATGCCCCCATCAGGGGCTGCTGTGCTGCCCCTGTGCCCACGCTGACCACTGGGTTCACATGGGAGCTGCTCCCAGGCCTTTGCACTGTGCCAGTCAGTGGCAGCTCAAGCTGGAGCCATCCTGGAGATGAGCCCTGTCCCCTCCCAGCCTCATCCCAGCACCAGTGCCCCTGATAGTGGCAGCACACCATGGTGCCAGCACTGCTCCAGGGCAGCAAGACAGAGGTCCCAGGTGAGCTGGGGGTGCAGTGGGGCACAGCCAGCGTGAAAAAGCTCTGGTACCCTTTTGGGCAGAGCATGGTGAGCACAGCATGTGTCGGGCTGCTCAGATAGCAGAGGGCTTGCCCTGGTTCTGGTTTGCTCAATGTTTTCATTAAGGACCTAGATGATGGAATAGAGAAAGTACTTATTAAATTTGCAGATGACACGAAGCTGGGAGGGACTACAAGTATCTTGGAGGACGGGATTAGAATTCAAAATGATCTTGACAAATTGGAGAAATGGACTGGAAAAAATAGGATGAAATTCAACAGGGACAAGTGCAAGGCAGTATGCTGAGCAGGGGAACAATCAGCTGTGCAAACACAAGCAGGGCTGGCGGCGTGGGGCCCAGCCAGGCATGAGGCCACACAGGCACGGGGCAGCACAGGGCAGGGGCAGGCAGGAGGCTCAGGCTGTCTGCTCAGTCTGAGCTGGGGGGTAGGGCCATGAGGAGGTAGGGGGAATGGATGG